ACTTTCTCCTGTTTTATTGTTGGTTTTCTCTTTTCTGATCATTTGGAATGAGGATAAAAAAACATGCAAATAAGTTCAAACATCAATTCAATATCTACTATTTCCTGAATATTATGAAATTCAAGATGGCGTCTGATGACGTCATAATATGCAAATTAGATGAGTATATTTACACCCCACATAAACTTTCGGTCATGCCCAACATTTTTCTAATTTACGGTAGATCTCTATCTTTAAGCCCTTTCAAGCCACAAGCTTTTGAAATCTTGATGTTAAAATCCAGCATTTTTTCCAAAAAACCCTGGCGCCTAAAGGGTTAATAGACTTTTATCAGTAATTAACAGTGTTGGGCATAATGCATTATAAGTAATGCATGTTATGTAATCAGATTACTTTTTTTAAGTAACTAGTAAGTAATGCATTACTTATTAATTTACAAGAAAACTTCTGAGTTACTTTTTCAAAAATGTAATGCCAGTTACTTTGTTTTCCCATTTATTGACTGGCCGCACAGTTGAATGGTTTGTTCGAGCAGCATCCTCTACTGTACAGTCGGAGGCTTATTAATTTTGGTCTGAAAGGGCATTTCCAAAAATAGAACTTTTTATGTTAAAAACAAAAAAGCAAGCCCAGCACAGATGAGAAAAAGTAATGCAAAAGTAATGTAACACATTACGTTCCATAAAAAGTAACTAAGTAATGCAATTAGTTACTTTTTTAGGGAGTAACGTAATATTGTAATGCATTACTTTTAAAAGTTTGTCACGGCCGATTGAACAGAGGACTCAAATGCAGAGGATGAGAGAACAATGTTTATTAAACTTAGGCAGAGACCACCCCCGAAGTAGAGGTGCCAAAAAACAAACATAAAGTATGTGTAAGGGAGCTCCAGAGCTGCCCAGACGAGCTCAGCGGACAGCTCTGCCTGAAGAGATCCCCAGACACCGTGTCCCCGCAGGACGAGGAACGAGACGAGATCCGAGAGAGACAGCGAAGACAACGGAAAGCTGTCACGTGTAAGGAATTTAACTCATTAATTCTTGATAAGGGAATTAATCATTAACTTTATTTCTAGCTCAGGTTTGAAAGGACTCGGATCTGAAAATTCGAAGTCAACCTGATTAAAACTGATTTCAAATTT